TTTTTGCTTGTTTTTTGGTCCCCGCAGCCCCCAAGAGCACTCTACAAGCCTCCTAAAGGCTATTCATGCTTTTGGGGGGGGGGCAAAATCCAGGCCCATTTTCGTGAAAAATGGGCCCTTTTTGGGAGGTCTGCAGAGTGCAAAAAACTTTTTTTTAAAAAATTTGCTTCTTCAAAATCTTGGTGCGTCTTATACTCCAGTGCGTCTGATACTCCGAAAAATATGGTATTCGGGCCCCAGATTAAAAAAAAAAAAGTCCCACAGTTCCAGCAGAGGGGCAACCCACACATTGCTGCAAAGAACCAAAGAGGCCAAGCGGCAGGGGCAAAAGAAGAAAAATTGTACAAACAGCTCCAGGCTCTTGTGAGTCTCAGATTTGCAAAACTTGTCTTCAGTTTGATCATAAGAAGCAAACAGCCAGCCTATGCATGGGTGAGCTGGCTCTTTGGAGAAGCAAAACACGGGGTGTTTTGAAATGCAATCCAAACTACAAGCGGGAGGATTACGAAAAAGCTTACATTAAGCACAACCCAATACGTTTATCCCCATTTCCAGGCCTCGCTTTGTCCCTGTCTTTTCCTGCTCCAGTTCTCCAAACTTTCCAAAACACCCCCTCCACTCCCTCCCACCCCAGCCATTTCATTTGCTTGGGGTTTTTTTCTCCAGGTCTCCAATGAAATCCTTGCCTCTTTTCTCTGGCCTTGGCTGGGCTCTGCCTGGCCCTCCCGTTGCTGGGTAAACTATGAGCAGATCTGAGCCCGTAAATTCAAAAGGCGAAGGGGGTAATGGAGAGGAGTGGCCCCAGCTCCATCTGCACCCTTTGTGAAGGCTCGGTTGGAAGGGCAGCGCCCGCCAACGGGGATCAGAGGCAAGAGGGAAAGGCTTCCATCGACACCATCGCCACGGGCATTGCCCTGGCATGCACCATGGCAGGAAGGTGTTAGCAAATAAGCGAACAAGAAGGCTTCAATTAGGCTCCGGGCGTGGATTCAGAAATCCCTAGTTTTCCTCGGCTGTCAGGTTCCTCAGTGGAACCGTGAAGCTTATGCCTGCAAGATGTCAGAATTTCACCGCATGGCCCTGCTCCACCAGGCGAATTTCCTGCCTTGGCAAAGCAACCTGAGTTTTATCCCCAGCAACCCAATTTTCTGCCGTGACGTCCTCCACCTGGTGCCCCCCAGAAGTGTTGGATTTCACATCGGGCTGACTGGCAGGAGCTCAGCAGAAATTCCTGGATAATCAACTCAGCGCAGCTGCACGAGGCTAAAGGGCCGTGATGGCCAACCTATGGCATGCGTGCCAGAGGTGGCAGGCAGAGCCCTCTCTGCTCTGCGCACACGCCATCGCCCAGGTCAGGTCTCCGTGGCGTTTCTTTCGTGACCTTCTGTTTCCCTACAAACGACGAAACAGAAGCTCCCGAAAGAAAAAAAATCTTATCTCTTGCCGCGCTGCCAATGTTGGGATGCCTCGTCTCCCACTGGCCATATGGTCTTCGGGTTGATGCTGTGCACGGGCACATATCTGTGCATGTGCACATTTGCACACATCTGTGAACATCTGTGCGCATGTCCCTGCATGCATGCATGTCTGCACATTCACACATTCATGTTTGTGCATATCAGTGGTGGGTTTCANTCTTCCTTTCCTACTATCTCTCCTTCTCTTTCTCTCCCTTCATTCTTCCCTCCCTTCTCTACTTCCTTCCTCCTCTCCTTCCCTTTCCTTCTTCCCTTACCTCTCCTCCACTCTTCCTCTTCCTTTCCTACTATCTCTCCTTCTCTTTCTCTCCCTTCATTCTTCCCTCCCTTCTCTACTTCCTTCCTCCTCTCCTTCCCTTTCCTTCTTCCCTTACCTCTCTCCTACTCCTACCCTCTCTCTTCCCCTTCCTACCCTCTCTCCTTCTACTTCTATGCTACCCCGAACAGGAATCAAGTTACCTGCTCTTATTGTTGTTACCAAAATGAAGCCAATTAAAGGAGAAAGCCCTGTAATGAGAAAACTATTTAACATTGGATATAATACTATTTATATAGGATTGGCATGTAAATTATAAATAACAAACGGCTTGGTCGCATCAAAGAGTGTTTCTTGAGAACCGATTATGGAAAAAGAACGTTTCTTACGGGGAAATAGATAAATCGGTTGCTTTTTCAGAGTCTATTTATTTTTTTAAAAATTCTGTGTTCAGCTTGCCTTAATAGGCCCCTTCGCTGGGTTCTTGCTTTAAAGTACTAAGTAAAGGTCAGAATGATGGGGAGAGGCACTTTCATATTGTTTTACTTTTTAGGGTAAGATGAGATATTGCCCAATCCTAAACTTTTCCTTGTTTGTCATGAAATTGTTTCTCCTAGGCAGGTGAGGAAAATTCTGTTTGTTCCCTATGCTCTTCATGACCACACTGCTTATGCTACACTGGCAAGGGAGAAGCTGGAAAGTTTAGGTAAGTCACACCTGTCCTTGATTCACATGGAAGATGGATGGGTGACCTCTTTCCTCCAAGGCTCTAAATTGGAGGATATCCAATATTTTTTACAGAAGTATACAGTTTATGTAGCCCTTAAGCCATCTAGTGTGGCTTGCAAAATGCCTAATAATTCTATACAGTTTGTAAACCCAGACAGAAGTTAAAACAAAAAATGCTTAAGTGCTGGCTAAAGAACTACATTCTTCTCAGTAGAGCCTTGTGCCAAAGCTTGTGCTATAGCCTTGTGCCAAAGTGCAAACTTTATCTACTTGTCTGTTTTACTTAACTGATACAGGCTGAATGAAAAAACACATGCGGAGGAGCTGCAGAGAAAGAGTCAGCTGCTCCTGAAAACACTTAGGGTATTCTCTTCCCCTGAAATCAGGCTCTCTTGCTATTCCAAGCAGGGGTTTCCTTGTCACAATCACTCCTTGACTAGCCTTTTTTTTTTGTTTTTTTTAAAAAACTCTTCCGCTGTTTTCAATATATATTGGATATAAAAAGTCTTACACATTCCTGTTAAAGTGCCAGGTTTTTTGAGATGTAAAAAACAAACCAAAATAAATCACTTAATTTAATTGTACATCTGACATGTTACAGGAATGGTGGGGGAAAAACCTGAAGTTATTTATCTTGATCTGATTCTTTTTACATCTCAAAAACCTTGTATTTAAACAGAAATGTGTAGACTTTTTATATTTTTTTATATTATGAGTTTGACACCCGTGTTCTATAGCAGCAATAGCAATAGCAGTGGACTTATATACCGCTTCATAGGCCTTTCAGGCCTCTCTAAGCGGTTTACAGAGAGTCAGCATATTGCCCCCAACAA